TTTTATTTGATTTCTTTCTAGATTTCGTGAAAATTTTGTAATTATTTCACTTGATGGACCTGATAGTAATGTTCTTAAATTTAAATCGTAAATATTATTTCTTATAGTTTAATAAAGTGAAATATTCTTTTTTTGTTTTTATTTAGACCAATGTGTTTTTCAAAAGAGGATGCGGATTATTTTTGTAGTACACTTGAAAAAATAATAAAAGAAATGACAAAAACATAAATTACAAATATCAATATGAATAAACAAGAATAATTTTATTTTGATTGTTATACTTTTTCTTCTAGTATATTTTATGGTTGATTTTGTGTTTTGATTCTATAAGTTAATTATAATAAATAGGATTATTATAATTGGGCAGCTAAAATTTTAAATATGTGTCACTAGTACGAAAAAAATTGAATTTAAATTTGTAAGATAAATTTTTAGAGTCACTGTTTTCATAAATTTGGCACAGTATCAAAAAGCTATTGACCTATGATGGTTTCTAACCGAAATTTTTATATTTTATAGTTCATGCAACTAATATTAATATTGTTCTAATGTATTAAAAATACAATAAAATTTTATAACTACGAAAATGTATAATTTAATAAATCAACGTAAAAATCTTTTTCTTTAGTTATTGATAAAAACAAAGAAAAAAAGCTAATTGTTTTTTTGTCAAATATCACGTTCAATATTATATCTGGCTTATTATTAATAAATAAAAATCAATCAATAGATATAACGAAGTAAATATCTTGAATCATCAATAATAAAACGATACCATAGAATAGGTAAAAAAATAGTACAAAAATGCCATAATGAATGTGCATCAATTATCCATGCAATAGGTGCAAAATCAACTAATTCTAAAGCAGCAAAGATCATTGCTAATACAACTGATACTGCACATCGCCAAACATAAATTTTTCCAGATATAAAATTAATTATACTCCATAAAAGCCAACATATTACATTTAAAACACCAACAATAACATTAATTGTCATATTATAACCATAATCCATATGAATAAAAAGTAAATAATAAGCATGATAAATAAAAAACATTAATAAAAATAACGTTACAAATTTTGCTAAACGTATATATTTTGTTCGATAACTAACACGAATAATACAACATGCAAATTGTGAAAAAATAAGTGAAATAGCACCAATATAATCAAATATTTCTGTTAATGGTTTATCACGTGTATGAAATATTGTTGACCATATCCATGCATTCATAGCTATAAAACAAAATATCATCCACATTGAATAAAGTGGATATACACCATATTTAAGATGATGACGAAGTACTTTATAACCAAATATATAATTTGATAATAAATTTAATATTGAAAATAATGTTGATGCAGGTTCTTGTATACCAAGAAAACGCGTAAATGGCCATTTACCTAAAATTATATATCTAGAATGCATTCTTACAACGTAAATCTCTCCAAGTATCAAATCGCTTTGAATATCCTGAAATGAGTTCGGGCTAATACTTTATTACTGTTGAGATAGTAGATTTTTTAGCAGAATGCCGTGGTTCTCATCAGGAAAACTAATTTTCGACTCGAAACTTTGCATAGACACGATCCTAAAGTTTCACATCTATTAATTGATTCTGTTCTAAAATACAGCTATGATAAATCAAATTGTTCGTTTCAAAAAAGACATTCTATGTCCAACATGCAACCTTCTCAAGAAATCAATTATCTGAATTTTTCATTTGTTCTAAAATGTCATTTACGAGGAAAAAGAAAATCATATGTTGCTATTTAGCATTAAGTCTCCCTCAGAAAAGTTCAATTCTGATTAAATTTATCAATTTTTTGATTTATATCTTGTTGCATAGAGCAAAGTATCTACTCTTCAATACACTATAGTTTATTAATTTTACAATGAGATTTAGGGATATTATATAGACTTTTTCGAACATGATTAAACATTAGAAACCTGGACTTAACATCAATATAAAGGTAAAAAATAAGTTTTTGTATTCTATTAAATAATTTCGTATATTATTATTATTATTACCATGAAATTGTACAACAGGTTGTCCATTTGATTGCATATTATCGACAGTTTTCCACATACATTCATATGAACATTCATCTTGACATGACCATTGAAAAATATATTCAAAAAATGTTTGTTTGTCTTGAAAATCTCGTAAACCTAATGATGTACTACAATTAATTTGTTTACAATGATTTAAACATGCTCGATATAAGTAATGATTATCACCCGGTGATGCAAATATAATTATATTTAATGAAAAATAAAATAAAAAATACCAAATAATCATTATTTTATTATTTAAAAATGAGAAATGTAATATTCGTTTTCTTTTCTTTTGAATCGATTGTATTTGTAGACAAATCAACTATTATGGAGATGTCGCTTAATGATAAACAACGAGTATATATATTGATTGATATAAGAACGAATCAAAAAACGACTTTTTCAATACGTGTCTACTTAGAAGAAGATTATTAATAAACGAAGATGAGTTTTTTATGGGATTGGTTTACTAGTATTTTAACAACACTTGGTATATATTCGAAATTTTAATTCTAAATATATTTCATTTATAAATTCAAATAGGTCTACATAAAAAAAATGGTAAACTTGTATTTCTTGGTCTTGATAATGCTGGAAAAGTAAAAAAAGAACTTATAAATCTTAATTATGTGGTTGTTTTTTTTCTATCTCTATTAGACAACTCTATTACATATGTTAAAAGATGATCGACTTGCTCAACATGTACCAACTTTACATCCAAGTATGAAATGTTTTTTTTTTGTTTTTTGTTTTTCTTAGATATAAGAAATTTTTCATTTTTAGCTTCAGAAGAATTAATTATTGGAAATATGAAATTTACAACATTTGATTTAGGTGGTCATATTCAAGGTAATTAAATTTTTATTAAGAAATAAACTTTTTCAATTTAGTCATCAGAAAATTTTAGAACAAATTGTCGAATGCTTAGATATTGGAGTCGTAAGGACAAAAGATGTCTCCCTTTCCCTTTCTCAAACTATAATACATTTCATAAGGTTAACAATTTTTATCTTCTAGGCTCTAGTAACCAAGATTAAAGGCGCTAAGTGATATTAATAACAAGGTTTAGAACTTTCGATATCAAGGATGATATTTTGATTTCCTACAATTGTCATATAACCCATACAAAAGCATGAATTAATTAGGTTATAGCTAATCAATTTCGGTCTATTGAGATACATAATAATAGATTGTTAAGATCTGCTGTAGATATAATGAATGTGTACAACAGGTTTATTTGTCTATTAAATCAATAATTAGACTAATAATAATAAGTTATGAAAATGAAGTTTGCTGATAATTGATGATTGTTGGAAAAAGTACTATGGTCTTTTGGAGATTTTACACTTTGCGTATTGTGTATATTAGTACAATGAAGCTAAATAAGACATGTGAGTTCTATATTTCAGCTCCAAAGGACTGTGCTAATAAAATTTTTCATCCGGAACTTCTGCTGTTGCTTCTGGCAAAAAAGCCAGTGACATATTATATTTTAACACAACAAATCTCGATCATATGTGCTATGATTGAGAAACAGAGAGAGAGAGAGAGAGAGTCCATTTTAGAGTGATATATTGTCAATATTGAAGAACTTTCATATGAAAATTTGTTCCATAATATTCATATAACTTACAGAATAATTTTTTCTTATTCTAGCTCGTCGTGTATGGAAAGATTATTTTCCAGCTGTTGATGCAATTGTTTTTCTTGTTGATGCAGCTGATCGAAATCGTTTCGCTGAAACAAAAAACGAACTTGATGTTCGTATTCTTTGTTTTGTATTCTTTATATTAATATCTAAAGATATTTTTGTAGGGTTTATTAACAGATGAACAAGTTGCTAATGCACCTATTGTTATACTTGGTAATAAAATTGATTTATCGGGTGCTGCCAGTGAACAAGAACTTCGTTATGTACTTGGTGTATCTACAGCAACAACAGGAAAAGTAAAGAAAATTTTCTAGAATTTCTTTGAATGATAATAATTATTACTCTAGGGAACTGTTCCTCGTTCGAGTATAAATGATCGTCCAATGGAATTATTTATGTGTAGTGTATTAAGACGAGAAGGTTATGGAGAAGCATTTCGATGGGTTTCACAGTATTTATAAAAAAAAAATATAGTCAATATTATTTAGATTTTTTTTTTTTGGTATTTTGTCTTTATATACTTTCTATATTGGTTTGTTTTGTTTTTTTTTCTGTTGCCTATTTGATCAAAATGTTTAATTAACAAAGTTGAAAACCAATTTGGTTAAGGATAAGCATCTTTTTTTTTTACGCATCTTATGGTTGTATTTTTTTTTTTGTATAAATGAAACACAATAAATATATTCGTCAATATTGCTAAATGATACAATATTTTTTGAGATTAATTAAAATAAGAGTTTCTCTGATACAACATATCGAGAGTTCTTATCAAAACTGAATTAAACTTCTCAACTTGTTTATTTAAAGATTAAATTTAGATGCAGATCATCATTCGAAGAGAAACGTTAGATGATTTGTCTGCAAAAATTTGAGTAGAAAAATTCAAGATAACAATCAGCTATTGAACAAACGAATTGTTTTTTGTTTCGTGCTATACGGAGGACTATCACATATAATACATCTTAGAGAAACCTAGTACATATAAATGACTATAATATGATGTTTCTTGTTGGAGACTTGTAAAAAGGAAAATGACCTTACAAACCGGACTGTTTACAATTCTGGTATATTGCATGTGTTTTTATTTATCATTTTTTAATTTGTAATAGTTCATTTAGTATTTCAATGATCATTGCCATTACCATTTAGAAAAAACGCAACAAAAAAAAAATAAGAAGAATGTTTTCTTCTGGCACAGCTGGTAAAAATCTTTTATCATCAATTGTATCATAGTCAATTATTTATTGTTTCTTTCTTTTTTTGATCAAAACTTGAGACGACATTTGTGTAATGAACAATAGACAACAGATAAACATTTAATGATAGAGACGTTAATTTATTTTATTTTAACGCCATTGTATATCTTTTCGATCGATTGTTTATCTTATATTTAATCCTATATACAAATTAAACTAATTCATTTTTCTTTGTATTGTTAACATTTATTGATCATACATTGAAAATGATATATCATATATTCTTCTTTTTATTTCTTATTCATACAAGTTATGAATGTGAAATTTGGAAAGCATCAGAATGTCCACCAGGACCAACTAAAGAAGATGAAGAATTAATTAAATCAGATGTATATACAAAAGAACAATTATTTGCTTTTTGTGATGCTGGTAAAACATATGTAGATTGTATCAATGAACGTTTACATTGTTGTGATATGCGTGTTGAATATTCAACAACATTAGCATCACTTGATGCACAAATTAAACGTAATACATGGCGTCTTGAAAAATATTGTAGAGGAATAATTGAAACAAATATTATAAATTATCGATGTTTAACAACATCAGGATCATTACTAAGTACAATAGCACGATCAACAACAACACCAATACCAATATGTGATGTTGAAAAAGTAAGAAAAGCAAAAAATTTTTTTTTTAAGAAAAATTTTTAATTTTTTAAAAATATTTAAGGTTGGTATAGAATGTAGTCCAATTATTGAACATCGTGTTTATTTTGAAAGTCAATGGTCTGTTTATGAAAAAGCTAAATGGTGTAAAGATAGTTATGATTATTATATATGTGCATTATCACATATAACAAATTGTTCAACAATACCAGTTGTTACTGACATAGCTCAATTGACACTTTTTATGGATTTTATAGAAAAATCTGCTAATCGTGAATGTCCCGGTGGTCTATACGGTTGTGCAGTTAATGCTGATAGTGATATGCGTTGTCGTGTTGGTGCAAAGTATTTTCTTGATAAAAATGCATTAACTGATCAAGCCATCATACATAAAATATCATTGATTATTGTATTTCTGTGTTTCTTGATTCGATTGAATTAAAATATTTATTCTTTGTGTCACTTTTTTTTTTGCTTTTTTTTCATATACGTAAAAAGAAAAATCTATCATTAGAAAACGATCCAATCAACACTATTACTGACTCATACATCTTTGTAGGTGGATAAGGATAGATATATATTTGTTTTTTACTATGTATCATGTGTACATAACAACCTTTTCTCATGTAAATAGATATGTATACATACGAAGTGCATTATTTTTGTTCGTTTCTTAATGATGAAAAAAAAGAAAAAAAATGAATCAAAATAGAATAATATGGTATTATATACAGGTAAGCACTACATAATACTTAGTATGTTTGTCGAAGACAACAATCCATCGATTACTGGTAAGATTTATATTTAAGCGTGTATGAAATAATATTTTGTTTTTGTTGATCTTGATAAAAGAAAAAATGTATGTATCTTAGTATTGTAAATTTAATTAATGAATATTATATATATGTATCGAAATAAATAATTATCGACTACTAGTTTCTTTTTTTTTTCATCAGAAAATCAAAAACTTACTGAATCTGAAAACGATACTCATAAGTCACAATCAATTAATTCTTGTCATTCTTATGTTCAACAATCACCATCAAAAAAAATACAAAATTATTTTCAACATCGATCTTCTGAATATCAACAAGTAAATAAACATTCAAATAAATATTATTCATTCATGGACAAACGAACAAATCATCTAACTTCTAATTCAAATCAAATATTCACACAACATCAAACAAATATGAATAATGAATCAAATATTCAAGAATATTGTCGATATAGAAATGCTACACAATATAGTCCAACAAAAGTATGTCATTTGATTGAAATTAAATGAGTAATGTAGAGAAAAATTCAAGTTTTAATAGTGATAATAAAAAGATCACTATCAAAGTTTTTTGCGACTCCATTTTATTTTGAAATATCAATTGATGTCTTCTGTAGAGTCGTCATAGGTGAGAAGCTACGTGGTTTAACATGTATATGTCGTATCGAAGTTACACCGGTCGACGAAGTTAATTTTGAGTCATTTAGCAATAAACAATTCACCTCATTGAATATCCTACTATTGAATATATAATCAAAAATAAATTTTTTTAAAATAAATATCTATTTATTTAAGAATCTGCCTCGGATACGAAAATTTCGAACTCGGCGACCTCTAACCACCCGTGTGATTAAGACCTCCATCCCTCAAAAATCGATCTCAGCCCAGGAACGTTCAAATGCCATGAAATTTTCACCCTGATATTATGACGTTTGAGGGAGATATTAATCGAACAAGGGTCAAATATAGCTCATTCGGAAAATCAAATTTTTCAGTCCAGGTTCATTCTAGAGATTTACTTTTTTTGTTTTTGTTTGAAAGAACATGTCAGGATGTAGTACAGTACATAGCCCTCTTTTTTTGAACACTTACTTTTTAAGGGAAGAAAAGAGATCGAAAGTTCAATGAATCAAAAACAACTCTTAGAAAAATGGATGGTGAGTTATATAAGTGTTTGTATATATAATAAAAAAAAGCTTAAAGAGAAATTTGAATTACTCATTCAAGAAACTGAAAGCGGAGAAAAAACGAAAAAGATTTTTTGTTTTTTTCAGAAAACAACTTATGTTTCGAATAGAGGAAGACAGAAATCTTCAAAAATTCTTAGAAAAAATGAGACGCCGAGTAAAAATGTTTGCTGTTTATGAAAGATTAAATCACGGACTATCTTCCTATGCATTTATCTTAATTTCGGCCATTCTAACGAAAAGTGATTTTTGTTGAGGGATGCGAGGCCTTAAGTTGTAACATACGCCTATCCTCTGGCCAGTATATCATTAGCCAGTGTGTATGGAGAGTACAACAAGTCTGGATCAACCTGACTTTGTGTCCAGGGCTGCGACTAGTATTAATTTTAAGAAAGATATCAGTCTAATGAATCAGCATCTCATACTTCTCGGTATCAATCAAATCTTGTGGATATATTAGTCTGTTAATTAAATGTGTAGGAATTGATTTTGAAGTCCAAAAAAAAAAAAACAAAAATTCATCTTATGAAAAATTCGAATGCTAATTTCTATTAATAAATCTATTTATCGATTGCTCGAAAATTGTTTATCTTAATATGAATATTTGAAATAATCAAGAAGTCTTTGAGAAAGAATTTCTTTTCATGAAATTTTCTCAAGTATCAATCATATTTTTAAATATTTTAGGTGTCTAATTTTCTCTCTCCAAGCTATTTAAATATAACAAATCGAAATACTCATGAATATTCAAGATATAGAGATTCTCGAGTAAGTTTAATAATTGGAATATTTTATAATATTTCTATATAAATATATAGTCTCCACGTAGGAAATCAACAAGTGAATTTAATAATATACATCCAAAATCCCATCGAACATGTCGAACATTATCTTATAATAATGAGTCGGAGGTTAATTAATATATATATATATATATTGATAGTTTTTAATATTTTATTTAGTTTTATAGCGTTTTCCTGTTCCTGACGATAAAGTGCCTTGGAATGTTATATATAATGATTATGAACCTTTTGAATATACAGCGGAAAGAATACGACAGAATCCAAAAACAGATCCCATTGATCCGTAAATGAGATCTTCTTTTTTTTTATTGTGTGATAGAAAAAACAAAACACATTATTTATTTGGTTTAGTTTAGATCGAAAATAAATAAATTCAATCAACTTGATAAAAATATTGATCGTCGAAGTTTTACTGGACATTATTATGTTGATCCAATAACGTATAGACCACGAAATCCAATTGGAAGAACAGGACGTAAGAAGAAAGTTTTACAAGATCTCATTTTTAATAGTTTTAATTAGTCACTGGTCGTGGTCGTCTATATTATTGGGGTCCAAATCATGCTGGCGATCCAGTTATTACTCGGTAAAAATCTAAATATTTTATCCTTTGATGAAATTTATTTATTGAATTCTTAGTTGGCTTCGTGATGAAAATGGCTCAATCGTTTATCGTCGAATCAATGCTCATGATCGTCTAAAACCTATTCTCGAATTTGTAGCTATTCAACGAAAAGATAATAAAGAATGGGCTCTTCCTGGAGTAAGAAAAGTGTTGTTAGATAAAAAGCGAAAAATGCATGTAGCCATTAAACCAAAGACAGTTCGAACAAATCGATGGAAAATATCTAAGAGAATACGAAAATCTATCATTGAATAGAAAGAAATGAAATAGAAAAAGAAAAATTGTGATAAATGACAACAGTTGATGCTAATATTTCTTAGCAAAACCTATATACGAATAGATTGATTTTAACTTAAAGAAAAGTTTATCCGATCAAAAACTATTATCGACTTGCAGTATTTAAGAGAGTGTCCATGAGGAGACCGAGTATACGAGGCACTCTATAAAAAATTTCTTTTTGCTCATTCAATGCGGCGATATCTAAAGCCACCGACCGACGATTTTAGACTCTCCTACCTTTGCTTTGAAAAGTTAGCCAATAACGACTTTTAGCATTATCAATCCTTTATGAGTAAAAATATCTTATAAAAAATAGGCCAGTTCGAGTTTCAAGAGATCATTCAAATTTTTCATGGTATATATGAGAAGATAGAGAATTAAAAGCTGAACAAAATGAGCTATATGGATATAGTATAGTGTCTAGTAACTCAAGATTTATAAAGCCAACAATATTCGGAAGGAGCCTTTTTGATTTGTCCAAATAAAATAATGCACCGTCTACTTTGTTTCAGAATTAAGAGATTTCAAACTGAATTTTATCTATGTTGTGCAGCTCTTTTTTTTCTACAAAATGGTAAAAAAAATATTCAAAAAAGACGTTGAGTTTTGTACTAAACGAGGATTACATCTCTTCATTTTTGACGATTTTTCAATAGAAAATGCACATATTTACTAATTTTCATTACCATAATACAATAGTAAAGCAAAAAAAGATAAGATATTTGAAATCGGCATAAAAAACTGCATCTAATCATATAGTTTTCAGTGAAAATTTATTTCTGTCCAAAACTGATCTCTAGGGGACCAGGGAGAAAATTTTTTTTAAATACAGCTGTGGGAGACTACAGGTCAGTTTTGTAGAGAAAAAAAAATTTCACTGAAAACTATATGATTAGATGCAGTTCTTCACGCTAATTCCAAATATCGTATCTATTTTGCTTTACTATTGTATCATGGCAATGAAAATTCGTAAATATGTGCATTTTCTATTGAAAAATCGTCAAAAACTATCAAAAATGAAGAGATGTAAGCTCTCTTTCGCACAAAACTCAACGTCTTTTTTGAATATTTTTTTTTGCTATTGTGTAGCAAAACAGAGCTGCGCAACATATGTAAAATCCAGCTTGAAATCTCTTGATCCTGAAACACAGTAGGTGGTACATTGTTTTATTTGGAGTGATCAAAAAGATTCCCTTTTGAATATTGTTGATTTTATAAATCTTGAGTTACTGGACGTTATATTATATCCATATAGCTCATTTTGTTCAGCTTTTAATACTCTATCTTCTCATATATACCGTGAAAAATTTGAATGATCTCTTGAAACCCGAACTCACCTATCTTTTATAAGATATTTTTTCTCAAAAATGATTGATAGTACTAAAAATCGGTATTGGCTAACTTTTCAAGTCAAAGGTCTAAGCACTTAAAATTTTAGGATCGGTGGTTTTCAACATTGCTGTATTGAGTGAGCAAAAAAAAAATTTTTATCAAATGCCTCCTATACTAGATCCTCTCATGGGCGCTCTCTTCATATCTTTTATGTGAAAATAATATAAATCCTAATTGCATTGAAACTAAAAATAAATGTGAAAGAACATGTCGAAATTAGAAGTCACATAGAATTTCTCAGTTTGATCCGAATAGCGACTAAAAAGTCATCTCACCTATTTAGCGTTCGTACTTCAATATTTTTTTAAATATCCTGGTAAATCAAATAGAATCTTAGGCTCTAAGAAAATTACTAAAAAATAAGGCAAATTCATTAGTTTGAGTTTGGCTCATTTGTTTTAGCTTTCTTCTAATTTTTCGATCTACTGTATTATGCATTAGATCATTCTCAAAAGCAGACTTTCTTCTGCATTAGATTATTAAAGTAGATGATACTGTGTAAAAAGAAATATCAAAGCATCGATTTTGTGTCCATGCTTTTGTGTTAGTACTTCGAGAGATACGGCAGTTTACATGATCCCGCATATCTCCATAACAAGTTCCTTATTCTTCATCTGAGACATATGTCGCCATCACTATTATATGTCCATGATATCAAATAGAGTATTATAGAATTAACTATGTTCTACAAGGTTTGTCACGAAAAATTTTAGCAATGTTCCATCGCAGGAGGAGACGGGACAGTGTGATACTGCGACTGGTGAATACCTATTTTGCATTAATATAAAACAGTATTATTCATTCCTAAATAAATAAATGCAAAATACAGAATACAAAGAACAGTTTTGCTAGATATATTCTGATTCATAAAGTCCTTTTGTTGTCTCTACACGTAGAGTGTTCCGTTTAGTTTAGTGTCGCTCTTTCTTCTGATCTTCACACTGGATGAAAATTTATAGAACAAACTTTTCTTTTTTTTTAAATCAATTTGTAAGATGTTCAAATGTTAGTAATAATTTTGATTATTAAAAGGGTATGGTTGATCCAGGTGAGCATGTATGTCAAACAATAAAACGTGAATTTCAAGAAGAAGCAATGTGTGATAGTATTGATGTACATCGTATAAATGAATTATTTTCTAATGGATATAAAGTATATGAATCATATGTTGATGATCCAAGAAATACAGATAATGCTTGGATAGAAACAGTTGCTGTGTAAGTTAGATTAATAAAAGAATTACTTTTTTTTGAATTTTGTTGTAGAAATTTTCATGATGAAACAGGTCACTTAACTAAGAATATTCATCTAAATGCAGGTAAAAATTTATTTAAAAAAAAAATTTATATTCTTATTTTTTGTTTTTCTTTTTTCTAATAAGGTGATGAATGCGGAAAAGTTATGTGGTGTCCAATTGATCATAAACTTGAATTATATGCCAATCATAAAGATATTCTTAAAGGAGTTATCGATCGACTTGGTGCATATTGGTGATATGAAATTATGTATAATTGATTGTTTGACGAGAAAACGATAATATCAATTAATTAGTAACTTTGATTATGTCGGACAATATTAAACAATCAATTGATCTAAGCTATATCTATTTTTTTTTGTATCTATAGTTCTATCGGACATTTTCAATATTGATAGAATTTAGTTCTTATTGAACTAAATAAAATTATCATTATGATAGACTTATATTGTAAATAGTTACTATTTCTAATTTGTTGCGTTATGATTAAAAAAAATCACTTCCAATCAAGAAATAAACGAGAACTTTTCAACTTTTTTCTTTTGTTTTATAAATCAAATTGATAACTTTTCTTATATATGTGTTGGAGTAGAAATTAAAATTCTACTAGTAGAGATTAAAATTTCAA